ACCAAGTTTCGGCTGGAGTTTCCAGACATCTTGAGCTAAATAATAAATTTCACCGACTCCCCCATCGTCATGCTAAAGGCCAACAATCACATGAAACTTCCGAAACTATTCCTTTCAAAAACCTTGGTTTTAACCACTTATTGCCTCGCATTCGTCATTTTTGATCGATGATAAAGAGCCGGTTCGTATTTCTTTTTGGTCGTTGCAAAATTTTTTTGGTTCTTTAAACCAAAACCCAATGGAATTTAGTGAATCAAGGTTCTGTGATTGGCTGTTGCTGAAAATATGAAATCTAATGACAGAACTGAGAGCGAAGATAACACAAGGCAGACCGGATATCAGACAGTCAGTTTCGAAGACCGCTCATTACTTCAGCCCGAGGAGGTAGTCCCGTCAAACAATGTCTTTGACATTCCTGATCCTTTGCCAGCGTCCGAGCTTCGGCCGAAATCGGTCCGAGTGTGGAGCAGAGTCCTTAGAGACAGTTGCCATTGTTGGTCGTCCCGTGGGTCTTCAGCCGGTCGGTTGAGCAAGTAGTAGTTTCTTCGCCATGTTTCTAGAAACATCTACGAAACCGTCCAAGCCATCGTTACTGTATGAGAAACAAACGCACGCACGACTGACACAAATGCAAATGTTCCTTCGAGGATTTGGCTGAAAGCAACCCTGCTCAACTGGTAGCAGTCAACGATTAATTGGAAGGCGATTTTATTTTAAGACTAAGAAGATGTCATCGGAAAATCCAGGAACTTGTGCTAGCTTGTGGAGCATGTTCATATTAATGACAGTCGACTAGGTGTCAGAAGGTATTGATCAAACATTTCAGTAGACATTGATTCGTTGTCAAACGTCAGTCTAAAAATTGAATATTTTGCCAAGAAACACGATCGCACAGATTTTGAACGTTATTGCACCCCAGTTTGTGAGCCTGAGCATCAAAATCAATGTAAATCCGACTCTGTGAAAGTCAACAAATTTTCGTTCCACACGGTATTTTATTACCACTGGAATTTCTGGCGAAACCGCGTATAACGTGGGATTCGGTCGTAAATCTATATTATGTAAACCGGTGATGCAGACGTGGAAACTTGAGCATGTCTACTAGCCGTGTGTATATAGCTGAAATTGTTTTATACCTTAATTTATTTCAGTTTTTTATTATCCCTTTATTAGGTCATTTTGTTCATGATCTGTGTTTTCTCAACGTAGATGCAGCACTAGGCAGTGGTGGAAGTATTCCAACATTTTAATGATGGAAGCCGCTGAAAGATGAAAGTACCTTGAGACACCGTAGTTAATTTTTTCGATTATGGGTGAAGAGTGATTATCGATTTTTCCATCTGATCGTACCGTTTCCGTAGTGCTCTTTACTAAGTGCGTTTTCTTTAAAAGGAACTAACAGATCTGTAATCCCCGTAGAATACCTCGTTTACGTAAACACCTGGCCTGTCGGTCAAACATCATGCCACAGCCGTGCTAATACCTTCGCGACTTAATAACAAACCTTAGAGACTACCGCAGTGATCAATTAAATAAGCACCGCCGTAGCGCGCCCTATCAAAGACGCACTTACATGACCATCTGGTCTGAATGCTGTGAAGCCAAGGTTAGATTCACGCATGGGCAATGAGAAACTCGTGCATATGAAGTTAGTGAATCAATCATTCGTGTATCAGGGAACTAATCATGTTTTCAATGCAATTCTGTTCATAATTTGACATAACCAATCAAGTTCATCTTTCCAAAGCTACTTGAGACCCGGACGATATAAATTGTTCATTTTAAATAATTTAAACACTAGGCCATAAGCATTGATTCGTTGAATATACTATGCTTACAGTTAACGGAAGCCAGTGAGCTGTTTGGCTGGTTGAGCAGAGAGTGAGGAGGACAGTAACGCAACGGCTTATTAGGCTGATTTGCACTGCCTTTCAGAGGTGCTGGATTGAAACTCCAGTGGTTACGTACATTCTTTACTATTAACTAGAAATTCCCTTGAACAAAGAATCGCCCAAATCACAATGAGTGAGTGGATTCATATGGAGTATTAGTGTAATTTTCCACCATGCCTGATTCATCTGACAGCTGACTAATATCATCACAAAGCGCAATAGATGGCAAACTGCAAAAAGCAATTGGTCACATACGAAGAAACTGTTAGGAGTCGGGGTTACGGATAACGTTAAAGTATGCGTATCCTACGATTCTGCCACGTTCATACTCCTGTCAACAAAAGATGGCACCACAAATTCATTTTTAAAAAAATTCGCAGCACAATGTTAAATAATTGGAGCATTCAACTGCCTTGGCCTGCGATGTTGCTCGATTCCGCGCTGCCATCGACTCAGCTCATCGCCAGACGATGTGACGTGTCATTCGACACTATGGAATCCATCAGGCGACGACAAACCTGACCGAGACCTGTAGTTAGAGACGCCGCTCAAACTGAAGGATCATTGTCAGAATGGTTCAATGTTACCAGAGGAGTTCGTTCGTCGAGGCAGGTGCTTTCTTCTGTTATTCAACATCATGGCAGAGTACATTGTACGAAATTCGTCATCCCAAATAACGACGAAGGAGTGATCATTAGTCAACGACGCAGCTCGAGATATCCGGTGGTTTCCTACGGACCTTCACCACGTCGATGACATGGTGCTACCGAGTTGATCCGCATGTCGCCTACTGACACCCACCGAAAACGTGTGCAACAATGCCATGGGAGTGGGAGCCAAGTCAATGCAAAGAAGGGAAGATTATGAGTGCGCCTGCTGTGACAGTCAGGCAGAAGATACTATTATATGATATGACGATGGGTGAAGTGAACCATTTCAATCACATTGGAAGCCTGTTGAGCAATGATGGCGACATTGATCGTGAAGTGAATAGGCGTATCGTAACAGAACATCAACGAATTATGTCAAGCTGTATTCGAGGTGTCTATATACAGTCTCGAAACCTCTGCCATCCTGAAGGGTCACGAAGCTCGATTAGGCAGTTTCCAATAATGCAGTCTGTGCAGCATTCCTCAAAGTGCGATGATACCACTGAAGTCACTACTGAACGTGTTGACGATCGCCGGCTTGGAAAAACTATTAACTGAACTCAGATCAGAGATAGGCACTTGGCTTGATTTCATAAATCGGCCAAAAAGAAAATGGAAAAATATTCAAAACTTTTCGTTCTTCAGAACCATGTTCTAGTCGCAGCCGCGTTGGAAAACCATATAAACGTGAAAAAACTTTGTTGAAGCAGACTTGTTTGCGTAGAGGAATATGACCTTTGCCTAATATCAGTCTGGTGAAGTGTCATTTCTAATCGTCAAAAGTCATCAACCTGGGTTGCTTTGCTGCTTAAGTCCAACCTCTCATGACGACGGCAAAACGACAATAAAAAATCAAATGGTACGAAGATGATACAACCAGTGCCTGTATTCTGCACAACAGTCAGTACCAAAATCAGTCACGACACTTCAAACCATATACGTGGTTGAATTATACTATACCATATACTTCAACCATAGTTTAAGGTGGCCCCATATTTTCCACATGTCTGTTCGTAAAAGCAGACTCACGAGGGCGAACAAGCGAGATGCAAAATAAGACGCAGGGTTGGCTTGGCGGGGTTCGCCTCCCTACATGTATGAAAAGGGTTTACGGCCCGACCCGGTCCGCCAGAGGAAAATATTGCCAACTCAACTATGGTAAGTGATTTTTTCCGGAGAGAATCGTCCAACAGTCTGCGCCATCGTTGACTTTGGACAGTAAGCGAAGCACAGTGTCATCAGAACGAAGATGTGCAAATATGCCAAAAATAGTAAGCGTGTTCCGGAACGAGGAAACGCAGTACTCACCACTTGCGCGGATACTTCCGGAACACGTAAGTATCTGGGCTCGCGTTCCTCAGCTGCAAATGATCCGCTGAAGGCGGATGCATTCGGCAAGCAATAAAATGGTGGCTAAAAATCGATCATTAGCTCCATTCAAACCGTGACTTCTTACGGTCTGTCATTCTATAATGTTATGGCTCGCTATACTTGACATGTTTATGAATGAAAACGGTAAAGTAGCCAAATCAATATAACTAATCTCCATATTTCAGACATTCATCCTGCAAGATGACGGTGGAAATGTTCATAAAATGTAATATACGAAAATGCATAGCCATCTGTATGATAAAAAAAGACTTTCAAACAATGATCAATTTCCCTCATTTTCGTCGTAGTAGCAAAGGGAATTAACTCTGCCACTCTCGGACACAAGCCCGAAGAAGAAAGGAAAAAGGTTGGAAACCGTGGCGAAGTTTCTCATGGTTCTACCGGCATCGAACGCTATAACGGCTAGGTAGACTCACGGGAAACTGAGGCACTAACAGTCCACTGGGCGGGTCGGCATGGTCCCTAGTTGATTTTCTCACTGATTTCACGTGACATTTCCAACGCACCAAGTTTTAATCAAACTTTGCTTCATGAAACGAGCGTCAACCAACAGTAACACAGTAACAGTATTTCTATCTCATTAATAACTAACCGCTTTGATTCTTCTTGTTTAGAAGGCTTCAACTAGCATGTACGGTATTCGAAATTCTGGAAGACGCAGCAGTGTACCGACCTTATTTTTACCTGAAATGCTCAAATTTACAGTTGGAATGCATGGTCACTGTCCCGCAAGATCCTAATGCACGACGGAACATCAATACATAAGACGATTTCGTCCGATGAACTACATATGTATTATTATAATAACAGTGAATAAAAATTGTCCTAGCCTTGAAGTTACTTGATCAAAAACGTCTTATTTTATGATTAATTAGTCTTCAATTAAAAATAAACAAAACAAGGGCTGAAACAAATTTTTTCAGAAAAAATTTTCTACACCGAGCAATAGAGAAAATAAAATAACTAGGTTTCACACTGCGACACCAACAAGCATCGTATCACATTACCAAATATGAGAAAAAGCATGTCTGCAACAACAACATAAGCTATGAAACTCGCCCACTCGTCACTGAGCTTTCGCTTTGTGGCTGCGTTTCTTTTTGGAAAAGTCAGTGTTGTTACTGTGAAACAAGAACCGATGGACCTTGTCGACCTGAATATGGTACCTTGACTGCAACAAACTGAATTCGGTCTTTGACTTTTCGATAAAGTACGAGCCGTTGAGCAGGTCACAAATGCTCGACAGCGACGGCAACGGCCACTCGAACTCGTTCGGGATGCGGCCAGACGGACTGCCGCTTTCCAGGAACCAGAAGAGCGGAAACCAGATTTTGAGGCGATCATCGGCCGCCGTGACAAACCTCGCGTTGTACGCCATTGAGTGATAGTAGAGGAACAGCCGAGAGCTGATGTAGAATGCGATGAACACGTCTATGCTGTAGTGCTCATGACCGGCCAAGATGAAAAATATAGCGAAAAGATTACCGACCCAAGAGATCGTATGAAGGTAGTTCCAGGTATCAGGTGTGTCTAAAGTGAAGAAAGCAAAGGTGCAACATAGAAATGTTAAAAGATACTAAAGTGATGGTATAATGAAGCATCCCTACATTCGGTAATGAAATGATTGAGCAAAGTAACAACAGACGTATGGCCGCTGAACATGTAATCGCCGCACGACCGCACGCCAAACATTGACATTCCCATTCCATACCATATGTGGAAGGCGTCGTCCAACTTTTCGTACCAATTACTGTTTTTCTACATCACAAATCATATGAAATTGCGAGTGAAATAAAATTTAACTATTTAAGATAAAACGTCTGAGGAAAAAACTGTTTTAAAAATAATTAACTGGCGTATAGAAAATTAACAATAACGATAACAATAACAAATAATTGACTGTTTACAGCGATGCCAACATAAATGAAAAATTTGGTTGAAAAATACTAACTGCAGAATTTCCTATTCATAACCAACCAAGCTGCTCGAAGGAAAATTTCTTAGATAATTCATCGAACACTACCCCGATTTTTCATCAATTTTGTTTATAAATCTGCATTCTCTGTTCAAAGAGACGATGGAATGATGAAAAAATTTCCTATTTTCGTATCCTATCTTACTGAATTCAGCAATCATTACCACAGTGGCCATAAAACATTAGATTAGGGCTTGGAAATAGTACTGTTCTCATAGACAGAACCACCTCACATACATAAACAGCTCTTTTAACACTAGTTATCAAAGTCTCGTAAACCATAATTCGTAACAGATCCTTAGTACTGAAATACCCAAATGCAGTGGTTTGCTTAAAAGTCGCTAAGCCTCTAGAAGCAACGGAACGATGCGATTACACTGTGTGCAAATTCCCGCATACTTAAAACTAACTTTTGTTAATAAAATCGAATATAATGGATATTTCTGATTATAACTAGTTCAGTGATGTCATTAATCTGGGCAACCTTTCTACCAAAACAGTGCCTAACCCCAAATAATGTACAAGACAACTTTAGAATATTATCGACTATACTCATAAAAGTGTAAAAAAATGAACATTGAGTATGGTCAATAGCAAACAATATCATTTTGCTGTTCAAGCGAGTTGTCTTTAGAACCACAACGGTGACAAACAACCCTACCCTTGCCGCACACTTTAAGTGAACACCAGGCACCGAAAGCGAAGTGATCATCATTGTGATGCATCGCAAGAGAAAAACCGTACCAGCAAGCGAAAAGAATCGTCTGATCAGTATCAGCCTAAAGTAACAGTGCAAAATTCGAAAATAAAATTACATTTATGCACATAAACCCATCTTACAATAAGAATCACGTTCCGCAACCCTTTACGAGTAACATGAATTTTACGCATCAGATTTAACCCACCCCTACGCGTTAATCACACCATTCGTTACATGTTTACAGTAAGCGCATACAGTAGTACGCTAACACGATTCGAACATCACTTCTGTTAGTTTCATTCACAGGATGCATACACAAATTAGACTTCAATCTGCAATTAATGCAAAATTTTATAATACAGTACAGACAGTATGGGAAAACTGAAGAATACAATGTTTAATTTGGCCTTTCAGCCTTCCTCATGAAATTTTCAAGAGATGACTGAACCGCATCATCTTCTTCTCGTCACTAAAGCTTCATACATTTCTCTAAGAACTTTTAAGAACCATGAGGCATCGAAATCCATCTTGTACGATCGTGCAATGCCTGATAAAATCTCAAGAAACGCGATTGTCAACTCTGTCTCACGATAGTTTCGGTTCCTATCCTGGTTCTGAAGCCTGGCTTGCATTTAACGAGTTCTTCATTTGATATTCTCATATATGAAAATCGATGAATTCTTCGATATTAAGATATTTTCTCTTTTGATACCGGATTTAAACGCGTAGTAGCATTGTCCCCTTCTAGCGGCGTAGAAAATAATTTAAGCAGGTCACAGTTCCATGGTATTTGAGCACCAGCTGTTATAGATGCAAAACTGCATCACTAGACAAGATCCAACGAAAACCCGTTGGGACACATTACAATATGACACCATTCGTATGCATATGTCTACATAAAAATAAACCCGGTCTTATGAGTTTACTAGCATTACTGCTAGTTTTCTGCACTGCCTCTAAGAAAAATATTTTCTCTTTTGATACCGGATTTAAACGGCGTAATAACGGTCACACTGCTTCTACCGACCTAGAGGACCATTTAAACGGGTCATATATTTGTGATATCATATTTATATAGCATCTTCGATATCATATTCATGAACTTCTACCTTTAGTTGTTCACTAAGTTTCGCTGTTTATATGCACTATTTAAAGAGCCAAAGCGTCAGACATCATTATTCTCCGTGCTCGGTCTTTGACCCTGATACCTGATGTCGATTACAACAATATCAGTAACATAAACGAACTGTTAGTTTTCGTGCGAATAACGTTCTACAGTTGCTAAAATTTAAAAACTCCAAGTTTTTCACATAGCCCCTGCAAGAAAATTTGTCAAAGTCTAAATTTTTACGCACTAGGGTCTGCCTGTTACTCATACAGAGATAGGAATGAACAAAACTTAAGGAACAAACCGAAATGTCAAGGAAATTGAGCGCAATCTAACCCAAATACAGCAAGGTCGGGAAACATATTGTAAAATGTTGCAACGTCAGCTAATTTCAACATAAAGGAAATGTGACAATAAAAAAAGGCAATAACTCAGGTAGTATTAAGAGAAGTAGTCGAAACAACAGCAAAAAGCTTCGTTCGCTGACAGACAAATGAGTACAAACTCGATAGGTACTGTCAGATCGAGGCCGCGTTTTCATAATTAACGTAAACGGATCATTTGAGTACGTATTTCGTTTGGGAAATGTCAATGACAATGTGATGGCGCTATGGCGAAGATAATTCTGTGATAGGCGGCAATCTGGCAATCAATCGACAAGACCGACTGTCATTCATAAGTTTTTTGGAATTTCTTCGTTTGCCCGCAATCTTGTGCTCGATCTTCCGTGTTCGCCAGTTTTTATTCTTAAACATCGCAAATGCTCCAAGTGGTTAATCTGGAGATGATATGTTCAGCATCTGGTAGAATCGCGTTTTGGCTCTGTGCGTTATTCGTTCTGTTATATGAAAAGTTTTTATATAGTTTAGCCGCTTGTAAATTGTCAGTACAACGTTTAAGCTGGTATTAATTTTGAACGATTATTTTTTGTTATTCCAAATGCGCATCGTTGAAATGATTCGAACAACTTCCGACGAAGATAACGCCATTGTATTCTTTCATAACTGTCTTAATCCTCTCATCTCAGGGAACGTGCAGGAATGTTTATGCGATAACACCATGCCTGAAACTAAACTACTCAGTTTATCTCGTTATAGTTTATTCAACAGAGTCATTA